CACTTCCTGTTTTAAATGCTTTTATTTTTCTTTCCGGAAGTGACGTCATCTCCGGAAACCTATTTAAATCGGAAAAACAAGGCAATCATTCTGTCTCACCTTCGACAGCCTCCGCTCGTCCACACGCTGCTCCTGCTCCGCACGCCTGTCAAGATCACGCAAATCTCCAACAAGGTGACTTTTCACTCTTTAATAGCCCCTTAAAACAACGCTTTCCCTCACTTTGAATGTAAAGCACCACTTTAAACGTGCTCACACCTTGCAGACACGCAAAGCAAAAATGTTTGCTCGAGCATTGCAATTAACGCCTCCTGCGACCTTACTTTGCAACAAACGCTTTTTTCCCCCCAACTTCCTAGGAAAGCTACGTTCGTCGAGCGGGTAAGTAGACAAAACTCATTTCTAAATTCACAATTAAACCGAACTAATACGCATGTGTGCATACTAATTGTGTCATTTCTGTTCACAGGTACAAATCTTAAAATGGCGTCTAAACTGTGTCACTTGCTGTGCGTTTCAATGTGGAATTTAAATTGTGAACCATTTCGAGCAAGCCCAACTAAATTGTCTTTTTTTTTCTGTCCACAGGCTTTGCTTCTTCTACAGAGTGGCCAAATTGACTGCAACAAGGTAAAATTGCCGCATTTGAATACAGATCAGACTAAATCCCAAATGTGTCGATTCTCATTTCTGTCTGCGCAGGCTCACCTCGACAGAATGACCCTTAAAATGGCTGCCATCCTGTGGCGTTTTGGGCCCTGGCTTCACAAGACTCGAGCAGACCTTTTACATGTCTTGCAAATATCTGTGTGCTAAGACACGCTTGGAAGGTTGAATATTTAAAAGTCAAGAGCTAACGTTACCGTGTCTTTCAGGCCACCGTGCTGTCGAAGAAGCGTCCAGCTCTGCTCTCTTCACAAATAAAGCAAACATTTTCCCAAAGCCGCACATGTGAGAGTACTCGTAATTAAATCAGCAGGTGATTGACTAAAGATTGAGCAGAGGTGTCAAATCCAGAAATTTAGGAACGTTTGGCTTCAACCAAAGGAGCATTTACTCAACCAGCTTCCGGGAGCTCGTTGACCTGCTGGTTGAGTCGGCACACCTGTGGCTAAAATCAAACGTGGCGGGGCTCTTTTTTGGCCCTCGCACACTCATCCAAATGATCAGATGGCTGTCTGGCTTTCTCAGACCTTGCAGATTATCTGATCATTTGAACCTGGTGTGTTGTACCAAGGGGCAATGGGGGAGGGGAAACGGGCGGGAGAGTGACCTCTGGGAAGTGAATTGAAGACGCATGCTCAACGTGCATGTTTGTCCTGCTCTCGTCCACCAGGTGGTGCTGAAGAACCAGATACACGTTGTGAACTCGAGTCGTCCCCTTCAACGTTTGGACCTGTTGCAAAAGTTCAAAGTCCTTGAACCGTTGGTTGTAGGCGGGCCCTCAGGAAACATGGCGTCATGATCCACCTGATGTCATACACGCTGTCAGGTGATGGAAGCTACAACCAAAAAGCACCACATACTTTATTTTCAAGCACACTCGCCTCCTTTTTCTTTGACTGTGCATGCAGTGCAGCTTCCAGTCAGTGCTGTCAGAGACCTCCACCTGCTGGGCAAAGAGACAAATGCGACAAGCTTGTAGCAGGTTGCTGCCTCCATTTTTCAACGTTGCCGTTCAAAGGTATGAAAAAGGAGCTTGATGGGTCTCGTTTGTTGCATTGGCAGGTTTGACAGCCTTGGATTCGTCACTGGACCAGGAGCAGCTTGGCCTGTTGGTGCTGATGATGCTCAGTGTTGCAGCCAAAGATTCCAGTCTCCAGTGAATCAACACTTGAAAGCAAGTTGAAAAATGAAGAGCTCGTGCGGGAGCAGCGGAGAGTAAAATGGAATGACATTTTTGGTTAGTAATTGGTGTCTCCTCCCCTGTGCTTTGTCATCCAGATGAGCCGGTGGAGTGTGATGAGGCAAAACGTGACTGAGCCACCTGCTGGTAAGAAGTCACATTTCATTTCAACAATCATGTTTTCATCATCTCTGCAGAGTTGAACAGTCCTTGGGTCCACAACGCCGCATGAGGAAGTAACTTGCTCCCCGCCAGAGTGCACAGATCTGCAGGCCACACTTTAGCTTTTCATCTTACTCTTATTTGCAAGGCGCTGGAGCCTGAAAAGTAGATGTGTACACTTTCAATGCACCAGCATGGCTACTTTTGACTTTTTTTTTTTTTTTTTTTTTTTTTTCCCCCCCCCTTTTGGGACAAAACATGATCGGCTTCCTGCACAAAAGACCCAACAACTTGTCTGTCTTGCTGGTAAGTTTCATGCCAAAAACCTCTTTGTCTGCACAAGAAATTGACTTGCGTGTAACTTATTGATGTCTTTCCTCTCAGGTCAACGCACCTGTCCTCCGTTCTTCTCACGAGCCGACCACTTCACCACCCATCGACGTGCAGACTGCCATCCAACTTGCAACTTTTTCCTCTGCTTTGTGATTGTCTGTTCTGCAAAAGAAATAAAGCTTGATTACAAAGAACACTTGAACTCTCAACTTCATTCTTAAACACATCACAAAAATATAACTTAAAACAATTTAAAACCTTTAACCAAAAAAAAAAAATCCTAGCTTTTTTCAAAAAGCTTTTTTCAAAAATTTTTTTCCAAAAATTTTTTTCTGGATTTTTTTTTCTGGGATTTTTTTTTCCAGGCAGAAAAATTGAGGAAAGTGGGTGTGGCATAGCTGGAATGATGGCTCATGATTCGCTGATGGCTGTGAAAGTGGGTGGAGCATGGCAATAACATGCTGCGGTTGGTGGAAACGAGGGTGTGGTTATGCAAATTAGGTGTGCTCTGATTGGCTGGCTCTTTAGGGGGCGTGGTTATGTAGATTTGGAGCGATCTGATTGGTCAGATATTGGAAAGTGGGCGTGGTTATGCAAATCGGAGAGTTCTGATTGGCTATGCAAATTTATGCAAATGAGGGCCTCGCCGTGATTGGTGGACGTCAAATTGGGTGTGGTTTGGGCAGCCTTTGCAGAAAAATTTCTAAGTCCCACTTGAGTTTTGAGGTGAGAGTTGCACTTCGGGCACACCAGACAGTCTTTTCACTGTTCCCGTCGGTTTCACATGACCCAAAAGCTCAATTCTTGG